TCCTGTTTTCAGTCTCCCAAGCGCTGGGATATCAGGTGTGTGCCACCATGCCCAGTCTCACCATGCCAAGTACTGAGGTAAATTCTTAGCAAGTAGCCCATCCTTGGGGTCGGGGAGATGGCTCAGTAGAATAAGCCCTTGCCTGGCAAGTGCAAGAGCCTGAGCTCAATCCCCCGTTCCACAAAAAAAAAAAAAAAAAAAAAAAACAAGTAGCCCATCCTAACCTTAAATGTGTAGTCCTTCTGCCTGGACCTCCTAAATAGCTGGGATTACAGCTACACACCACCACACCCATACATACCACTATTTTTATCTCCATGCTGGGCAGCTACACCGCTAACCCTTGGGACTCCTCTTCATCACTCAATGGGGCTGGATCCTGACTGCAAAGGAACAAGCAAAATTGCCTTTAAGGGCCAGGAGGTTAGCTCAGTGGCATAAACACCTGCCTGGCAAGCACAAGGTCCTGAGTATGATTCCCAGTTGAAAAAAAACAAAACTGCTTAATATATTCTGGATGTAGAAAACCTTACGATCGCCCCTAAATCTACTAGACCTGAAAGCAAGGTCACAATAAGATCAATGATTTAAAGCAATCAAATCAATTTATTTCTCTTACCAGCAGTGAACCATCCAAAAGTGAAAATAATTCTGTTCACATTAGTAGTAAAATACTTTGAAATACATTTAATAAATACAATGTGAGAGGCAAGAGGATCGGTGGGAATTAGAGACCTGCCTGGGCATCGATATGAACTCAAAGCCAGCCTGAACTGCATAGCGAGACCTTGTCTCAAAAAGACAAGAAAAGTGAAATATACACACAAAATACTTTTTTTTTTTCTGTATTTAGGACAGGGTCTATAGGGTCCCTCTATGTAGATCAGAATCTTATTGAGTCCCTGTTTTTAGCCTCCCAAGTGCTGGGATTATGGGCACACGCCACCATGCCCAGTCTCAATCGCTCTCAGCATGCCCCAAGAGCAGGGCTGGCATGGCACTCTGGGTATTGAACCCCCGCCACTGTGCTCTGCCTAAGCAGGTGCTTTAGTCCACTGAAAAAAAAATACATTACTGAAGGAAGTTAAAATAAAAATAAAGGGAAAGAATCTACATTCACTGACTGAAAGATAACACGGTTAATACTCAGCTTCCCCAAGTTGGCTTACAGATTCATTGCAATCACTATTCAATTTCAGTGGATTGGGGCAAGGAGCACAGCTCAGGAATAGATTCATTGGCTAGCAAGTGTAAAGCCCTAAATTTCATCTCCAGAACCACCACCAACACACACACACACACACACACACACACACACACGCAAGGGTTATTTTACAAAAATTGAAAACTGGCCAGGGATTTCGCTCAGGGACTAGCACAAGGTCCCAAGTTCAAACCCCAGTAGGGGGGGGGGGGGGGGAGGTGCCTACCGGTTAGCTCAGTTGTTTAAGCACCTGCTCATGCAAACACAGTCAGGCGCAGGATACCGCAGTTCAATTCTCACCTCCACCTGCCTTAGCAGACTTGCCCTTAAGGAAGCCTGAGCCAGCCCCCAAAAAATCCTTCTCAAACCCCAGTATGGCAAAATAAATAAATAAATAAATAAAAATAAAAAAGGGAAACTGACTCTAAAGTGTATGAGCTCAGGTAGCGGGATTTGATCAGCAGCACCACATGCCCTGCGAGCCCTGCCCCTGAGCCACACCTGGACAGCGACTGGGAGTCTGGGCGGGGTGGTGTCCAACTGTACTCCCAGCACGTGGGAGGCTGAAAAGGTTCACTAGGAGTTTGATCTGTGTAGTGAGACTCTGTAGACCCTGTACTAAATATATAAAGTTTATATGGAAGGTAGCAAATCTTGAATAGTCAAAATAATTTTTTTAAGTCAGCATATTGGGAGCTCTTACTATTTTAAAAGCAAACATAAAGCTACAGTAATTAAAACAGTGTGGCAAAAGAAAAACAGTGTGGCATTATCATATAGGTAGGTATCAGATCAATGGAAACAATCAATCCCAAAGTAAATCTTAAGCTTATATTTGGGGCCGGGGAGATGGCTCAGTAGAATAAGCGCTTGCCTGGCAAGTGCAAGGGCCTGAGCTCAATCCCTGCTTCCACAAAAAAAAAAAGAAAAGAAAAGAAAAACCAAAGTAAATCTTTATTATATTTATGGTCAATTGATCTTCCAACAGAAATATCACAGCAATTCAAAGAAGAAAACTACAATGTTCAACAAATAGCACTGAGATAATGATATACAGACACAGAAAGATGAATGTTACTCCTTTATATCGGCAATTATAGGGCTGGGGAGATGGCTCAGTAGAATAAACACTTGCCTGGCAAGCGCAGGGTCCTAAATTCAATCCCCAAATCCCCAGTATCACAAAAAAAAAAAAAAAGAAAGAAACTTTTAAAAAATACAGTATTTGTAAAGATTAATAAATACGACTATCCCCTACACTATGGAAAACAAAGTGACTACAAAATACAAAACTTTATTGTTTTAGTTTTTATTTTATTTTTTGCAGAACCCGGGATTGAACTCAGGCCCTTGTGCTTGCCAGGCACTTATTCTACTGAGCTATCTCCCGGGCCCCCAAAACTCTGTTGTTGTAAAGACCTCTTTAAGAAACTCAAAAGGTGGACTGGAGAGATATCTCTAAGGGTTCGATCCCCAGTACCTCAGGCCAGCCGGGGAATCCCAGGCGTGGTTGCACACACCTATGATCCCAGACTGGGGCCGAAGGATCACCATGAATCCAAGCTGCCTAGCAAGACCCTGTACCAAATAAATAAATAAATAACAAAAGGCAAATCGCTGTGAGATCTTTCTGACACATATAACCCACAACAATCAATCCAAAAGGAACCTGAACAAGAGGTATGAAGAACCAAGCAGTTGTGGAAAAGTGTGACCAGATGACTAATAAATGGTGCTCTCAACCTCACTAATAGTCAAGAAAAGTAAAAGTGAGTGATTGAAAGTTTTCAATAAAAAAGTTTTCAAATGTGCCATTTATGGAACTTCAAGCGATATACTGTTGGTAGCAACATAAACTGGTAAAGACATTTTAATCAAATTCAAACATACTCGACTTTAGGACAACTCTTAAACCAGGCGAGATGGCACATGCCCTTAATCACAGCACTGGAGAGACTGAAGTAAGAGGAGTGATGTAAATGGAGGCCAGGGCTGGGGAGATGGCTCAGTGGTATAAGCGGTTCCGCCAAAAATAAAATAAATAAAAATAAAAAAGTAAATTGAACTACAGAGAAATAGAAATATGTGCATATCAATTAGAAATATGTGCATATCAATTCTCGGCAAGCCCTGCCGGCCCAAGTGCGTTGAGAGAGCGATTGAGATTGGGCGATTGAGATTGGGAATGGTGGCACGCGCCGGTAATCCCAGCATTTGGGAGGCTGAAAAGCAGGAAGAATCACTACAAGTCCGATCTGTGTAGTGAGACCTTGCAGAAACTGTACTAAATACATTTTTTAATAAAAGAAAAAAAAAGAAATATGTGCATAGGCACAGGAGGCAAATATCTCAAAGGCTATTTAACAGCAAAATCAGCAGTTCTGCACGGAATATAGTCATACAGTGGACTGTCGTGAAGTGATGAGAACGAGCGAGTATACTCCAGAGAGAGCAGTATCACACCCCACAAAGGCATGTGTTTTCATTCGCGGGCTGACGTCTGACACTGACAGATGACTGGCCACACCACTGGGCTGAAGGTCACGATGACTGTGCCTTGGAGAAGGGTACGAGGGAAGCTTTAAGGACCTTTCTTTCTTTTTTTTTTTTTTTTTTTTTTTTTCAGAACCAAGGATTGAACTCAGGCCGAAGCACTTATTTTACTAAGCTATCTCCCTGGCTCCTGT